CATGTCCTGCTTGTCCTTCTTCTCTTTTGACGCTTTGGACGCCATGTTCTGGTCCTCCTGGTCCTTCTTCTCTTTCTTCGCTTTTGCATCTTTCTTTGCTTTCTTTGTCGCCTTCTTCTCCTCGACTTTCTCAGAGGTGTCCTGCGTCGCCTCCGTCGCCACCTCCTTTGGCGTCACCTCTGGCACAATGTCATCAGCTGGGGAGGTTGGCGAGACCTTTTTGTCCATTTTCTCTTCCAGCATCTTCTGAAGCTTCTGGGCCCGTTCCTCAGCCTTGCCAAGCTTCAGCTGCATCTTCAGCTGCATCTCCTCATGGGCGGTGACCTTGTTCATGGTCTCGTCCAGCTGCCTTTGAAGCTTCCGGGCATGCTCCTCGGTCTGGTTGAGCTTCTGCTCCGTGGCCTCACACCAGTGCCCAGGTAGATCAAAACACATATGGGCTATCGGCTATTGTTCAACACCATGAAATCATTGGCGCTTGTTCAGCACACAGCTGGCCATTTCAAAACACATATGCGTATAGGTGTTATATATATTTACTAGAAAAAATGGGCGCTTGTTCAGCACCCCAACTGACAACAAATCGCCAGCCTCACCATCTCTCACCAGCTTCGACTGGTGCTCCAGCAACTTGTTCACTATGGCCTCCTTCACCTTCAACTGCTGCTGGGCCTGTGCACCAGCAGAGCGTTCTTGCTGGAGCTCTTGTGACACTCGCGCAAGAGCAGAGTGTTCCTGCTGGAGCTCCTGTGTCACTTCTGCACGAGCAGCGCGTTCTTGCTGGAGCTGCTGTATCACTTGTGCACGGGCTGAGCGTTCTTCCTGGAACGCCTGCGTCACTTGTGCGCGAGCGGAGCGTTCTTGCTGGAGCGCCTGTGACGCTTGTGCAAGACCAGAGCTTTCTTGCTGGAGCTGTTGTCTCGCTTGTGCATGAGCAGAGCGTTCTTGCTGGAGCTCTTCTCTCGCTTGTGCAAGAGCAGAGCGTTCTTGCTGGAGCTCTTGCGCAACAGCAAAGCGGTCTTGCTCATTGGACTGGGCGGCATTGCGGCGTTGCTCGTCCTCGTCTTCTCGCTCTTGCCAGCGGTTTGCGCGGCGCCTCTCTCTGGCCGCATTTTGGCGGTTCGACCTGGAATTGCCACCGCCTCCATCCGAGCCAGGACCGCGCCACGGGCACCACCGGTAGCGCCCATAGTCGTTGGCGCCCCAGGTCAGCTCCTGGGGCCAGGGCCACTCCTCATCATCAGCCATGGCGGAGCGGGCAAATCGGGGATTTGCTCTGGCTGCTAGCTTGTGTGTTGTGTGTATTGTGCGTGTTTCAGTGTGTATTGTGCAAGTGGGGTTGCTCTTGGAGCTGGGCAACGTTGCTCTTGGGGTTGCTCTTGGAGTTGGCTGTTGTGTGAACCTTTCTTGGCTGTGTTCTCTATCTTTTTGACCCTGCTTACTTGTTTGTTGGTTTCCCCATTTTGCTGCCGCGCCCTTGCGCGGCTAGCTTCCCCTGTCTTTTTGAGCACCGCGCACGCGAAAAATCACATGAGCAATATGTGTGCATGCATGACACTACAGGTATGCAACTGTGGTTTCCGATGCGTTGCTGCAGGATTAGGCCCCGGCCCGGGCCATTTCAAAAACACCGGCGCCGGCGTCATGATGGCACCTTGAGGCGGGGTGCATTTTTGCAAGCGCTTTAACGCAATACATGGCGCTTGTTCAGCACCAGCCTTCGGGCTTAGTCCGGTAAGATCTGATTTTAACATATGTGATGCATTTGGTGAAAAGCACTTTAACACAAAACTCTTGGCGCTTGCTCAGCACCAGGCTTACTCAGCACGATCGTCATTGATACAGGCTATTTTAGCTCAAGATAACTGATACAAAATCAACAACATGTTTTTGGAAAAAAGGTGCTGTGAAAGCGCTTCTTCAGCGCATTGTTGGACCTACTATATGTATACCTAATCTAAAAAGCGGCGCAGCAGAAAACATGGGGAAAAAGTTGGGTCGCGCTCATGCTCTGCAGGGGCAGCTTTGGAAAGAGTGGCTTAAGTATTTGAAGGCCCACGCAGAAATGAAGTACTTCATCATTGTTGCTTTGATCGAGGCACTATGCGTTCGAGTATCACAGGTGTGCCAACTAAAAGTTCAACACCTAGATCTCCGCAGGAAGCGAGTGTGGTTGGAAACATTCAAAAAGCACAAGGCCTTGTGGAAGCCTATACTTCCATCAACAGTGGCCACTATTGCAGAATGGAAGAAGGAAGGATGGTGGAAGTGGCCCAAAACGGGCTATTTATTTCCTGCACAGGGACGAGGAAAGGGCAAACCCATCACAAAGGACATAGTAGCTCGGCATATTCGCAAACATCGTGCTGGCTTTGTCAAGAAGTTTCAGGACAAATACCCTGACTTACTCAATGGGCAAGGCATCCGCAGCCACTCTGGCCGGCGGCATTCAATCTCTACTTTTGCAGGTGCTGGGGTATCAGAGCAGTTTGGAATGGTGTGGGCTCAAATCGAATCCCGAAAGGTCTACCAAACCTATGTGGACCTGTTGCCAGAGCAAGTTTTTGTCACCATGGCCAAGGTTGACAAAAAGCTACGCCGGGTACGGTGACCCTGCTCCAGTTTGAGGCCCCGACATGCCTGGATGAATGAGGCCGAGGTTGAACCTGGCAAATGAGTTTGAGCAGCGGCGACAAACAGCACACTGAGGTCTCACAGTCTCACACCACCATTTTTCACCCCCAAGCCAAAGCGCTTTCAGCACTGACTAGCGGAACTGACACGCCTCAAACATATTGCGCATCACTGCTGCCAACATTGTAATTGGAATTGAATTTCCAATGATCTTTCCAAGCTGGCTCTCACTGACGACCTCCTTGGGAAAAGACTTCTTGGGTAGGCCTTGCAAAGCCCACATTTCATGTGTCTTCATTGGGCGGTTGAGCCAGGAGAGCCAATAGCCCTTCGATCCGCACCGGGTCCGTGTAAGGCACGGGGAGTAGTTGAGGTTATACTGCGGCGATGTGCCCCCTACATTCAAAACGTAGTGTTGTTTGGCAGGGCTGCCTCCCTCAGACTTGATCTTTTGGTAGCTCTTCCGGATGTTTTCAAGCTCCGTCTTGTTGAGCTTCTTCATGTTTGATACCATGTTCCCCACATCATCCATGTCGAGAAAGCAGGACAAGGATCGCATTTTCACCTCATGCTAACAGGCGTCCGGCTCAAATAGACCTGTTTCATCCCGTTATAATAAATAAAGTACAAACAAATAAGACTTCAGCACAAGGGACGCTGATTGGCCAAGAGAAGTCTGCAATCTTGTGTGAGTTCTTCAGACCCACCACAAAGATCCTTTCTCTGTTCTGGGGTAGCCCAAAATCGCGGGAGTTCAGACATGCCCATACCACCGTGTAAAGCGGCTTCTTGCTTCCTTTGACTTTCAAGCCCCGCAAGAATGTCATGACCTCAAGCAGCACATTGGGGTGCGCTGTCAGTAGCCCTTTCACATTCTCCAGCAGAAATGTTGTGGGTTGCTTCCGGGCTATGTACATCAGGAGCCGGTACACAACCGTACCTTGGGCTTCATCGTTGACCCCTTTTCCAAGGCCTTGCAAGCTAAATGGTCCACATGGGAAGCCTCCCAAAAAGAAGTCCACACAAGGGGCATTCTGCACGAACTCGTCCTCAAAGACGTCGTTGTAGTAGAACTTGTGCTGCCACAGCTGTTTGCTAAGCGTGGTGACATGCTTGTCATTGTCGCAGGCAAAGATTGCTGTCGCTTCCACCCCGAGATACTCGGCCGCAAAAAGCTCCGCGCACAAACCCGAACATGCGGAACCAAAAGTCAAAGGTTGGGATCGCTTGCGTTTAGGCATTTTGCCTTACCATTTTCTTGATCCCAGGTGCTGCACAAGCGCTTGCTTTGAAAATGCCAGCCCGAAAATCAACAAACGTGTTTTGAGAAACGATGCTGTGCGGGGCGCTTCTTCAGCACCTCAAGGCTTTACCAAGTTAAGTGGTGCTGTGCAAGCGCTTCTTCAGCACTTCAAGACTTTATTCAGTTAAGCGGTGCTGTGCAAGCGCTTCCTCAGCACATTTTTCCAGCTTCGCAAAGTTGGAAGCTTGATCAGGCTTCAACTTGGATTGGATCAAACGACCTGGCCAGCCCAGTCAACTACACAGTGTAACATATAGTGAATTAAATGGTGGACATATCATTCATCATCATACTTTGAAATTAGGGTTTAACTGGGACTCCAGGCTCGTGACATTAGCTCAAAAGCGCAAAATCACTCACCCTTCCTGCAAGTCCTCATCTTCAATGGCTGCATCATCGCCTTCCTCCTGCATGCCCACCAATGCCTTGATGACATCCGCCTTGCTCTCTGCCTTATTCTTCTTGGGAGCTGCTTCACCCTCAGTGCCGCCCGTAGGAACACCATCAGCTGTCTTCCTCTTATTTCCTCCTCGGCCACCACGACCACGCCCCTGGCCCCTCCCCCTCGACCAGTCGTCTTGTCCTTCTCCTTAGTCTCAGGGGTTGTCTCTGCCGTCTTCCCAATCTTGCTGATCTTGCTCATCAGGCTGGTCCTCAGTCAGTTTGACATAGCACATTACTGTTACTCGTGCTACTTGTAGATCTTGAGTTAAATATGGCCGAACTTATTTAAGTTACCGAACCTGTCGTGTTTGTGGAAAAGTTTGGAACTAACAATGTTTTATTGCTGTTTCAATGCATGGGCGCCACGCTGGGTATATATATATATATTGCACTCATACACAACAAGCGTTCTGTCATTTGTCTGCAAACATACATACAATAAATATGCATATATATATAAATATTGTTTTGTTCTTGTAAATTAACCGACAAGCACAACAAACACAAATTAAAAGCCTGAAAGTTTTTCAAGTTATAAGTAACTTTATTCAAATTATACCGTTATACCAGTTATAGTATCCCATTCCTGCCTACCAGTTATAAGTACCAATACTCACAATTAATTGTTCAAAACACTGGCGCTTGCACAGCACCGCGATAGCACATTGAACTCTTGAGACGGAAAACCCTTGTTGGATTCAAGTGTCAGGGCCACCCGGTGAAGTGGCGAGCTTTGTGTTTGGAACTCCTTGAACACATGCTCCATCAGCTTCAGCCGCAAAGCAGCTCCATGCGAGGCGCTGTACACCAAAGCCACACAGGGAACTTTTGCAAGAATGGCAGCCAGGGCTCCAACCCCGTCAGTATCGGAAAGGAAGAAGACCACTCCAGCACAGAAGGAGTGAATGAGCTCCTTGTAGAATTTCAAAGGCATGGTGTGAAATGACATCGGCTCACCGGACAATTCCGGTTTTTTTGGCGGATCACCTGCAAGGCCGCCGCCAGCGAGCACTTTCGCTTTTCCCGCCTCATATTCCTTTTTCTTTTCAGGTGATACCAACCATAGATTTTCAAAGCTGTCCATGATGACTGGTCCAATGGATGTCGAATAATTGGAGCCCCCGTAGAGTCTTGTACGTGCCTCTGGCAATGACAATGCTCCATTGCTGAACACGTGCAACCCTTCGTGCACCTGCGCAAGCCCACGGCTCACCATCTTTCGTGCTCGCATGCTTTTTTCATCGTAATGTATCACGAATTCTGTCCTGGTCTTCCCTTCGAAGTGGCACCCATCATCGCGGACAAAGCATGTCATAATTGAGGTTGAAATCATTCGGGAGCCATCAAGAACTGCACACATCTCATCTTCATCAAACTGCTCTTTGTTTCGAGCTGTGCAGAATGATTGCACTGCGTTCCTGAGACCTGGAGCTCGAAATTGAGGAAGCCTCAAGTGCGGTTGTGAAGACGATTCTCCACAGGTCTTCGTGTCCAGCACTATGAGTGCTGTTGTGCCCTCAGGCTGCTTCTTGGCAACAGCTGTGTCTGCAAGTGCCTGTGTAAGCTCGGCTTTGCTCTCACATTCAGGGATCCACTTCACAAATCGGTCAACCAGCTCTGCTGCCTCTTGAATTTCAGCCTGAAAGGCGTGCTCAAGGTCCTCAGGGCATTGCTCCACCCCCTCTGGCAAGAAGGCAACTAGGTCATCATCACGAATTTTCGCCTCTTGGACTTCTTCGTCCTTCCTCTTCAACTTGTGGTTTACAGCATCAAGTGCGTCATCAACCCCCTTGAGCATCTCATTGTAGGGCTCCTTGGCAAAGATGTCCGGAGGCGCTGAGGATCCTTTCAAGATGTTCTTGAGGGTGTGATCGTGCTGGGCGCTGAAGATCGCTTTCTGGCAGGGGGCTCGATGAAAGAAACTGACAATCAACCAATGATTATAATAATCAAAGAACACCAAGAAACTGATATGCCAAAAGGGAAGTAAACCTAAGGGTTTGGATTGGATGTGGGACCTTGCCTTCATGATGTCCACAGCTAATCGAACAACTTCATGTTCTGTTCCCAGCCACGATTTGTCAGGCTGATCTGCATTGCGAGAACCAGAGCCTGAGCCAACCTTTTCACGAAAAGCTGCATGGGTAATGAGACTCCGGAGGGTATCGATCCAATCACATGGGCAATTCTTAGACTGTAAGTGCTCAAGAAGCCAAAGCACCATCTTCCGTTTGGCTAGGAAAACATCAAGCAGCCCGCGGTTGTTGGGTGAACCTCGCAGAGCTCTCGTGGAGAGGTCCTTGTTCGTGTACTCCTTCAATACAAAGATGTAGTCCCTGATGGACTGGATCATCCAAAGCTGCTCAGCCTCCTTGCCCTTCATGCAAATGAGCTCAAGAACCCTGAGGTAATTGAGACAGGACGCTTTTCCAAAGGCCATGTCCATCTCCATGATTGCCTTGAAGACAGCTGGGTAGCATAGCATCCTGTCGTGCACTTTGAGGGCGGTGTCAACGAAGGCGAAGTCCATCTTGTCGACAAGGGCGCTTCCAAGGTCTGCTACCTTCATTTGCCAATGATCAGCGATTTCCTTCCTTGATCCAGCAGGTAAGAGCTCATCACGGAACTTCACAAGCTCTAGCACTGACTGGATGGTTGACCTTGTCAAACTGTCATAGGTGCTGATGTAGCGTTGCCTCAAGTTGATGCCCTTCCAAAACATGGCCTCATAGCTATCCACAAGCTCCACGCGCATGGACACACTAAGTAGCACTTGCTTCCATTGCCTTGGCGCTGACAAACATCAATTTGGACTCTGGAAACACACAATTTTTACGTGATTTCAATATAAACTAGTGCATCTCCTCAATAGGTGAGCCTTCACCTTTCAACCATAACAGGGGAGAAAGTGCAATCAGGACACTGAAGTTTGGCATCATCATGACCCTCTTTGATCAAATCTGCGATGTACATAATCAATGAATGGTCCAGTTCTTCGGGAGAGATTCGGCGAAGCCTGCCCTGCACCTGCTGCCGCTGGAATTGATCCACCCCAACACCTTGCTCAAGTGCAATGACCACCTCCTCCCGAAGCTTCTCTGGACCAGTCGCCTCAAAGTAATTGAACTGGAGCTCTATGCTTTTTGCCGAGACAGGAACAGATGGGCTGTTCAAAACCCTCAGGTTGCACCAGAACAGGTTTCCTGCTGAC